CCCCAAGCTCAGGTGACCTTGGCATGCGGGCCACTGGGCAAGCTCAGCTCATTGGTGGGCTTTCTGCTTTTCCTTCATTTCTCATTAAATGGTGTTTTCCCCACGGTCAGATATGTTTCAGTGTGCTGCTGCATCACAAGTGTAGAGACAGGCGTGATAGATGCACCAGAGCGGTTTCACTCAGAACCGTAGGGTGTGTGTAACTCACACATGAAACGTTCCCCTACAGGTGAGAAGTAATCCACCAAGGGTAGGGTCAGTGGAACCGTAACCCAAGCAACACAGTCTGTGCTTGTGAGGCTGAGTTCAAGACCGTCCGTGTTATCGCTGACTGCACATGCACAGTTAATGCCTTCAACAGAGCGTTTCCTAATTAAAATACGAGTTACGGGATGTTAGCATCCCACCTGCCGTAACGCTTTCATTCTTAGTACTTTCAGAGGGTTCCCTGCTGAAATCAGTAAGCTTACTTTTAAGCAGTTCTAAATTAGTTTTAGTCCAGGGTTTTACATGAACGTCCAACAGGTGATTCACTAATAGTAGGTTGGTTAGTTTTGTAGCAGGTATTGCAGTAGCTTCCTCGGCGATGAGACAGCCTGAAGTAGGACTCGTTTTTCACAGAGGAAGACAAGCGATGGAGGAGTTTGGCTGATAACAGACAATGTCAGGGGTCTTAGTTACACGAATGCCTTGTTTTAATTAACCTTGGGTGTGGTAATAGCACTTTATTTCCCTGAGGAATAATTTGTAGTGTTTGTCTAGTAAATCTCAAATAACTTACCTTTAAATTTTTGGTGAAAAAATGTCCTAATTCCAGTTCCATTTTTCCTAGTTCACAGCTCACTTACACTTCCCGTCATCCCTTCTTACGTATCTGCCTGTGTGTACTGGTGGTTGGGTTTTTAACGTCAGCGTGTGCAGTAAATCTGCTTTCTCTTCCTTCCTTTGCATGCATCCCTCAGCCTAGTGACTTAAGGAAACACCGTAGAAAGGTAAATTTTTCATAATTTCATGTGCTTGTTTCCCTGTGAAGAGGACCTGTCGCTGTACACGAATGAATGCTGAGGGATGGCAGTGACAGATATTGACGTTTTAACGGAAGTGCTGAGATTCACCGAGCCTCACGGGTGCTGACTGTTCTGTTAGAAATAGGTCCTTGGTTTCACAGAGCATGGACGAGCATAAGCGTTGGCCTTCCTCTACCGGGTTGCCTTCCAGTCGCTGCATTCAAGTTTATAATGGACAAGTTATTGAAGCAGAGCCATGGATTTTAGGTTTGGGAAAAACCAATTTCAATAATCAGAGCTGACAGCATTTAGTAAGCTCCTACTGTATGCCACGCGCTGTTATCGATCCTCACACACACCCCTGGGAGATACAGGTTACTGTTGTTAACCCCATTTTACAGACTTGGAAACTGAGGCTTAGAGAGGTGATGCACTGTGCCCAGGGTCACACAGTCAGGCAGCAATGGAGTACGGATCTGTCTGGTTTCAAAGCCTGGACACTTAGCCACTCTACCCTCCGGCCTGCCTTTTCTCCAGGGCCTCTTAGCTCTTCTGCAGCGGCCCCAACAGGGAGGTTAGGGCCTCTCCTCTGTATAGATGACTATGAGCTGGGCCTTCTGTTATCAGAGGAAGGAACCAAAGTGTCTTCCTCGTGACTGTCATGCTTGGGTCCAATCTGTGCCCCCTTCTCACACCTGTCTGGTCTTGAACTGACAGAGCAGTGTGGCGATTTAGTGAGCTCTTGGGGTGAAGTCGTAGCTCTGTCGCTGAGTGGTTAGTACCCTGCTTTGCTGTCCTGTGAAGTGAAGACAGTGACAGACATCACACTTTTGGGTAGCTGTAGACTGTGCCTCTCTGCCCGCAGGCCACTGTTAATGAGCCTGTACCAGTGGCAGGGAGAGCACACCCTCCCTCTGTCCTGCTGGCTTGTGCTTGCATTTTTCTTGCCAGTGAGACTTTCAATAAAGGAAGGAGTGTGCTGATCTCTCTGGTGGGACATCCTGGGCTCTGCTTGTGGGAACTTGGGTTCGCTGACTGGCTCCTTTGAGGGCCAGCTCTGGGGTGGTGGTGAGGATGCAACCAGGGGCGTGTGGAGTGCCCAGCGCTGCGCACACTTGGACAGTGTGTTCATACTGCCCTCTTCCTCCCCAGTATCCCGGGGTATGCTGAGATGACGCCCAGCTCCATGGAGCCTCCCCTTGCAGTTGAGTGAAATGGGACATAGACTCTAGTCCTGCTTGGGGTGCACTTTCCTATAGGAGCACAGAGGGAGAGGGCTGGCCAGGCCAGACAGGGTGAGCCTGAGGACGTCCTCTGCGAGGGGCCTGTCCTGTTAGCTGGGCTTTGGGTGAGGGGTGTCCTTTGCTCAGGTAGTCTTTGGTCTCCATGGAGTTCAAAGTCAGTCTAGCCCCATGGGTCACTCCCCATCCTGTTCTTTGTTGTTGGGTTTTCACAGATCATTGTTTAACCTGCCTTTGAAATCTACCCCTAAGTTTCACAGTGATCATTTTGGCCATTGTCACCTGTTGTCTGATGATGGCTGGAAATCAGGAAAGGATGCAGAATTGTCCAGCTGCTGCTGGCGGTTATGTCTTGAATGAGTTGAGGTTGGTTCTGCACCCACGAATCCGCTTGGTTGTCACTGAGTCACTATGGGGAGTACACAGTGTCGTTTAAAAAAATAAAAAGGCACGTGGTGGCTGCTCAGATTTCATTGTGCGCATAAATGCGTGCCAGGCCCGGCTGGCAAAGCCCAGCCCTGCCCTGGCCACAGAACTCAAATGTGTGAGCCTTGAGGGTCATTTGCTACCCACATTGTTGCCACCACCCTGCTTCCTGTATTCCCATTCCCCACAAACCGAGAAGACTTGTAACTGCGGAGACCACCTGTCAGTGAAACCCTAGGGTTACTTTACCTAAGCTGAGTGAGCACACTGTTCTCAAATGCATGAGGTATTTCAGTGATGACTCCCAGTCTAACATTGAGAAACACGAGCCAGACATGCATGTTGGGGTGGGGTTAGCCACCAGTTCACTTTCTTACCTGTTGGTATAGACTCTAGTGATTTGAATCATGATACTGGGTCATGGTACAAGCTATTTCTTTTTCCTCAAAACAAAAAGGTCTGGACAGTTTTACCTGAGAGGACTCTGCCCTCGTTGGCATTTCTGTTGAATGGTATCAGATCCGCACGTTCCCTGCAGTTCCCTACTGGGAGGGGAAATGCCACCTAGTCCCTGATGACGTGGTTCAGGCCTCTGCCACCTTGTCAGTGGCACTCCCCGTGGTGTCCCAGGATCCCAGGTAGGGCAGGCCCTCAGGCTGCATTTAGGCTTGGGAACAGGAGCACCCCTGCACCCTGCCAGGCCCACACTCCTCCTTGTGCAGGCAGCTGGGGCCGGGCCCTGACTGCGCACGGTGCTCTGTGGCCGTGTCTTGTGAAGAAGACTGTCCCTTAAAGCGGCATTAGGCTCGTACTCGGCAGAAACCACAGTTGATAGATTTTCAGATAAGCTTATGATTGTAATCTAAAGCCTGTGTGATTGTGTGTGTTTTTTATCAAGCCTGATGTTAATTAATTTTACACTTATCTCCACCCCTCAGTTGCCGGCTTCCCAAGAAGAGGTACGAGATGACAAGACAACAATAAAGTGTGAAACGTCCCCCCCTCCCTCCCCGAGGTCTTTGCGCTTGGACAGGCTGCACAAAGGCGCCCTGCACACGGTCAGCCACGAGGACATCAGGGACCTCAGGAAGTAAGGAGCAGGACAGAGCCAGTCACCGTAGAAACAGGCTGTCTGTCTGTCTGGAAGGAAAGGGCGGGGCGGAGCCAGTCACCTGTAGAAACCTGTTGTCTTTCAGGAAGGAAGGGGCGGGGCGGAGCCAGTCACCTGTAGAAACCTGTTGTCTTTCAGGAAGGAAGGGGCGGGGCGGAGCCAGTCACCTGTAGAAACCTGTTGTGTTTCAGGAAGGAAGGAAGGGGTGGAGCCAGTCACCTGTAGAAACCTGTTGTGTTTCAGGAAGGAAGGAAGGGGCGGAGCCAGTCACCTGCAGAAACCTGTTGTCTTTCAGGAAGGAAGGGGCAGGGCAGAGCCAGTCACCTGTAGAAAGATGGTTGTCTGTGATTTTTCAGTGTTAAGAAAGCTATTGATCTTTTCTTGATAAAAAAGAACAGTGGTTTTAAAGAAATACTGGGTAATTCAGTTGCGTTTACGTACCCGGTGTTCTTAGGATGCTGGGGTGCCCTGGGAGCTGCGGTGTGGCAGCAGGAGCAGGCTGCTTGGCAGAGGCTCTTGAGAAAGAGGAGTTAGACTAGATCAGCCGTTTTAGGAAATGCATTTCTTCAGACTCTACAAGTCTGCTGTTTTGAGAATTAACTTTCTATCTTTATGGGAGCATTTTTGCCCCACACATGGCTTGTTTCTGGGGGTCACCTCACTGTGGGGCAGTCAGTGGCTCTTGGTGTCCCTGTGTCTTGGAGCTGCGGGGTCTCCATGTGGTCCTTCCTGATCCTCATGTCTGCCCTTGGGACCAGCCACTCAGTTTCAAAGTTGGCTACTCTTACTCCATGCTGGGGACAGTCGCAGTCGGGGCAGCCATAGTTTCACTCACTGAGAGGGGACCTGGTGTGGGGTGGGCTGTGCTCTCCATGGCCAGGGGTGTGGAGCTCCGCCTTCCTGAAAGGAGGCTCCCAACGCTCCGCCTCCCAGACACTGCTCCGCCGGGGTCACTGGGAGCCCAGTTTCCTGCGCACGTGGGTTCTATAAAGTGGGTGTTCTGGAGGAGGCTGTTTGTGAAGTTTGAGAACGAGTATTAAAAACGTGGAGATTTCTAGTTCTCGTGAACAGAGCTGTGTCTTTTGTGATGCCACTTGTTAAAGGTTATTTTCTGTCCCCAAAGTTCAACAGGCTCCCAGGATGGCCCGGTGAGCAACCCCAGCAGCAGCAACAGCAGCCAGGACTCTCTCCACAAAGCCCCCAAGAAGAAGGGCATCAAGTCCTCCATCGGTCGCTTGTTTGGCAAGAAGGAAAAGACGCGCCCTGGGCACGTGGGCAGGGAGGCACTGGGGCAAGGTCGGTGTCCCCAGCAGACTGCCAGCTGTGTGCCTGCCGTGTGCCCTGCCCTTCTGTGAGGGGGTCCGCCGTACTAGCTGGGTGGTCCCCAGGGGTGTGGGCCAGGGACACACATGTTTTCTCCGTGCTGCTCACAAACCAGAGAGCCATGGTGACACTCTGCTTGTGGGTCTAAGCGGTGACATCAGAAGCAGCCTGTACATTTCTTCCCTCTACCTGCAAACCCTGTCCACCTGTTGCTGAAAACACTTCACTTGCAGTGTTGATTTTTCTCTCACTCTCTTGATCACTCTGCTTCCTCGTAGCTGGTACTTCAGAGACAGAAAACTCATCTCCAGATGCCCTGGGACTCGGCAAGTTGGGAGGACAGGCTGAGAAAAATCGCAGACTTCAGAAGAAGTAAGCGCTTTGTTACTTGTTCAGCTCACTGAGTAGTTTTTGGTTGTGCCTGATTTTTACCTAACATTCATTTGTTAACTGTATCATCTAGCTACGTGTACGTGTTATCTTTTAAAGGTTGACTTGAAGCGTTTGCTAAACCATGAAATTTTAAAAGGACTCTGTGTGGATTCCTAGTCCCCTCCGGAATTTGTCTAGTGGGGACGTGCTGGGGTTCAGTGAGGCTGGGCCTCGCATCTGAATCTTAACCCACCCCGCTCAGACCAGCTCTGGGGCGTCAGCAAAGTTGCTGCGCACCTCATAGAGCATGTGGGTGTTAGTAAACACACGTCTACACAGCTACACGTAAGACGCATCGGGAAATAGGCCTAGAACTGGGTCTAGAAGTGGTCCCCGAGGGAGAAGATCAGGCCCCAGTTCAGTAGCTCCCGCACTGTGGCCCTGACCATGGTGGTCCCGGTGCTTATCCTTTCTACTCCACGGAGGCAGCTCCCTGTAAGTGAGGCCACAGGTCGTCAGAGGGACAGCACAGCAGACTGTGCCCGTCTTACAGTAGGGAGGGAAATTGGGGCAAAGCCAAGGAGTCCTGGCTGCTCCTAGATGGGGGTTTGGGGCTGTGGGATTGGGACCAGTGGTGGTCCTCAGGATGGGAACTTAGAGCTCAGATTCTTCAGGACAGAGTTAGAAGTGAGAAACGCTGGGACAGGTAGGGGCCGGCACGTTAGTTCTCTCTCTTTTAGGCTCTGCAGCTAGTGGCCACACTAGTTCTTGTTTACTGGAAAACTGACCTTGTCCTTGTACAATTGACTGTTTCTGAGGATGGAGGCCTGTTGTCTGTAGATCTGAGGTCCGTAGATCTGAAGTTGGGACTGTTCTGAGGATCCAGGCCTGTCTGTGTGGTTCTGAGGTTGGGTCTGTTCTAAGGATCTAGGCCTCTTGAATGTAGTTCTGAGGTTGTAAGGTGGGGGGGATGGGTGGTTCTGGTGATTTTCAGAGCGTGGTCAGTGGGTAGGTTGCTGGGTTCTGTGTAGCCATTTCTTCCAAGTCCATCAGGGATTAATGAAATTGGCTCCCTTCATTGGGCTGTTCTCAGCAGCAGGTGAGAGAAACTCAGTTCCTGGGTCAAGCGAGATAGAATGAGTGTTCATGTAGCCATGTGGCAGAAGGGCAGGAGTGGAGATGCCTGTGGCATCCCCAGGCCTGGTGCCCAGGTGTGCTGTCTCATTCTCTCCCCTGAGCAGGGTCTGGGAGCAGTCACGTCCACCCACCCACTCCCAAGAGGAAAGGGGGGATAGCCCTGGGCCAGGCTCCAGGTTTGCTCTTCTAGATCATGGGCTGGCCTGACGGAGGGGAGCCAGGAAGCCAATGGACACCCAGGCCAGCCACCTAGCTGGGGTCTCCTGGACCTTCTTGCTGACTTCCCACAGCGCTCAGCTGCTTTGTCCACCCCCAGTGCCTTGGCCCAGTGTCGTCAGCACCTGGGCCTGAGGTCTGGGAATGCAGGAGTGTATCAGAGGTAGGAAAGGCTTTTTATAAACCAGAACAACCACTACAGGTCAAGTTGGGATGGTGTCCACCAGTCTGAACTATGGAATTAGAGCACGGTTTTACCCCTCGCTTCCTGTTTACAGTGAGCAGTGACTTTGTTTTGAAAATGATGTCTCTGCAAAGTGCCAGGGATTCAGCAGCTAGTCAGAACTCTTCAGAGTTGGCATGTGAGGGCCCTGCCCCTGCTGGGCATCGGGTCAAGGCTCAGCACTGACGGTGCTGTCCGGTGCCGTCCTTTCCCGTCCGCCTGCCAGGAGGCGCTTATGCAGCCCACAGGGCTTGCATGGTCTTTACATGACATGTAGCCTCTGTCTCTGAGGAGAGTTTGTCCTTAGGATACGGAGGGTAGCATTCATTCTGCACAGCGATGCTTCATTCCACCCAGCGAGGCCCCCCCAGCACTGTCGTGCGTCCAGCAGAGTGCAGTGCCAGTGGTCTCAGTGTCTGTTTCATTTATGAGTAGCTTTGCTTATTTTAACTGGGAAAATTTGTCTTTCTTTAAAATACACTACTTGAGTTCTTAAGACCTTTGTTACATTCTCTGGTGTAATTATTCTCAGATAATGACAGTACTTACTATTCCCAGGAAACCTAGGGTTGACTTCAGGAATGCTAATTTGAAATTTTATGTGAAATGTTTTGGGCTTCAGTTATATGTAGACTTCACAATCACAAGAAGAGTCTAATGCTGTTTAAGTATCTCGAAGGTCTGATAGGCATCTGGAAGGAAAAGCCTCAGTGATGTGTCCACAGGAATTGTTACAGGAGAGTAGCTGATAGAAAATGACTCAGGGATGGCCAGGCCCGGGGGGTAAATGGACCTGCTCCCTCGCACAGTCCCATCTTCTCCCCCAGGCTTTTCATGTTAAACAAGAAAGTGTCTTCTAGGCAGCCTTGCTGATGGACAACACAGGAGTAAAACAAGGTGCAGAACCTGTGTGGTTTTCTCTTACATAACTGTCATCTGTAGACAGATCTCTCTAGAGAGAAAGGAAGAGAGAGAGAGAGAGAGAGAGAGACATTGATCAGTTGCCTTCCTGTATATACCCTGACTGGGGATCGAACCCGCAACCTGGGTATGTGCTCAGACCACAAATCCAACCCATGACTTCCTGGTTCACGAGCCGACACTCCAACCTACTGAACCACACTGGCCAGGGCAACAAAATAATTTTTAAAGATGTGAATATGGTAGACTTAACAGTTTGGGGATTTTAAAATCAGGCCTGTGGAGTACTTCCAATCTCACAGGGTCCCAGGGCCCTTCCCTGCTGCTGCCCTGTGGCAGTTGTCTTGCGTCTGTGCCTAGGCTCCTGTCTTCACTGTGTGTTCGGATGGAAGCTGTTGGGATGTAAATTTTCTGGATGTGAAGCCTGAGGGCTAAACCACAGGGTGACCAGTGTCACAGTTTTGCAAACACCTAGTTAGCTAAACAGCATAGACTAGAAACAGCCTCCGTCCGGTCTGTCATGTGCTTGCTGTGTCAGCCGCCATTAGTGTCGGGAACCTGCACTGTTCGCCCTGTTGTCAGAGCTGAACGTCTGTGAGGCTGCCTCCCTTGTTCAGACCAGCTATTGCTTCCTTGTCCTGCGCGTGTCTCCTCCGTGCTCGGCAGGGGAGCGTGGCTGTGTTTCCCTTGAACACCCCGCTTCAGATAGGAAGACCGTGCTGGTTTGTTAGGTTGGTGATGGTTCTTGACTCTCGAGATGGTTCCATAGAAGTGGTGGCGTCTCAGTGCTGCATCCTTCAGGCGTTCTCTGTAGGGGACACTGGAGATTACAGGGAGTGGCGGGATGTGCACGCTCACGCTTTGGAGAAGTTACAGAGAGCAGGCTCTGTTAGTGTGGTTTCCCTGTGCGTGTAATAGGGACTTTGTATCTTTGAGTGTCTTGTCATTTGCAGGCACGAGTTGCTCGAGGAAGCCCGGAGACAAGGTTTGCCTTTCGCACAATGGGATGGGCCCACGGTGGTCGTCTGGCTGGAGGTACAGCTGCTTCTCATCCTGGGTTGAGGGTGTTGCACGTGCGAGCGTGCGATTCGTGCCTTACTCTGAGCTTGACCTGACCCGGCCTTGATGCCTCCTGTCCCTAGCTCTGGGTGGGGATGCCAGCCTGGTACGTGGCCGCATGTCGAGCGAACGTGAAGAGTGGAGCCATCATGTCGGCCCTGTCGGACACAGAGATCCAGCGGGAGATCGGCATCAGCAACCCCCTGCACCGGCTGAAGCTGCGGCTGGCCATCCAGGAGATCATGTCCCTGACCAGCCCTTCGGCCCCGCCCACGTCCCGGACGGTACGTGTCCATTGTCCTCCAGTTCCTTGGAAACACGCCTAGTGTCCCATTTAACACGTTAGGATTCAGAAACAGTAAGGCTTTAATCTGCCTGGGTGGTTGGAAGATACTTTGTTAAATACTCTTACCACAGACTGGCTACAGTAGCACTGCAATACAGAAGTAGGGAAAATGCAGAAAAGTAGCGATCACATTTAAATATAAAGTTATGAAAAGTGAAGGGAAAAAAGCTTAGCCTCCCCAGTTGCATTATAACCAGTGTTTTTCTCTACTGACTTACTCGGCCTGCCAGTGCTTTCCACTGGGGGCTGGAGCCATGGGCGCCAGGTCTTAGCAGCCGTAGCCAGCAGGTGTGCACCAGCACCATCCGCTCAGACAGTTTCCATCCATGCGGGAGACCCGGACGTCCTTTAGAAGGGTCCTGGCTGAGAAATTTAAAAATGCATCTAATGTACACATGCATGGTAACCAGGAGGTCAGTGCAGGCTCTGTCATTGACTCCGGCCTCTCTGCTCTGAGTCTTCTCTGCAGAGAAGACCTCTGCTCGAGCCCCTCGGAGCCTCATAGACACACTTGTCTGAGTGGCCGGCCAGGGCCCGATTTGGACTCGCAGCTGCTCTGCACGTGAGGGTCAGGAGCGTGTGTGTGGGTTTTGTTTGTTTCGTAGGGAAGGGTGGTGGTGGTGCACAGCACCTTGTCTCACCTACTGTGCAGACGCTCTTGTCCTGGTAGGGTTGTCGCAGCTCCCCTCAGAGCAGCCTTTCTAGAAAGGAAGGGGCTGGTGGTTTCCCAGTGTTTTCATAAACCCGTGACAGAGGCAGCTTCTGAGTGAACAGTGAAGGGCACACCTCACCTGGGGAAGCCTGCACACCTGGGGAGACCAGGCTGCAGCTGCTCCCCGAGGAGTGCGGGGGCCCAGGGCCTGCTCTCAGGCCAGTGGTGACAGGAACACACTCAGCCCTGCTGCCTGCCTCTTTGGTCCCCCTGGGCGAGGTGGTTTTCTCTCCGTACATATCACAGGTGGTAAGCATGGCAGGTGCACCTGGAAGTCGTGGCCTGCTCTTGTGCGGTTGATAGCACAGTGTCAATAAAGTGTGGTTACTCTTTAAGGGGGCATGGGCTGGTGCTAACATGTCTGTCATTTTCTGTGTGGGTGTCTGAAGTGAAGGCAAAACGAACGATCTTTGCCCCCACCTGCCTTTTAAGTGCCTGTGGCTCACATGTCTGCCACCTTTCCTTTGTCACTGCTTCCCTTTTCCCGGATGTGCTTGGTCACTGGGTCACCCTAGACCACAGGAAATGTCTGGTTAACGCACGAAGAGATGGAGACGCTCACAGCCACGCCACAAACGGTCAGTCCCGCCCGAGCCCGTCTCCCTCGGGCATCCAGTTCAGAGCGGGGATCGGACGTGTCACTCCACATCATAGTTCCCATGAGCATTTCTTCTGGGTCTCAGTTAAATGTGTGCGGTGGAATTTATGTTTTAGCTTCTTACAGATTTTTCCCACGAACCTCAAGCTGGTAGACGGGCTCTATTTAGAATAGATTGAATTCTTTTCCTCTTGGGGGGAGACCTTGGTTTAGTGCCCACTGTGAGGGTCCGGCCCGAGTTTCCTCCTAGGGGGTGTGCTGGCCTGGACGCTGGCTCCCTGCATGTGAGGTGGGGTGAGGGTCCTGCATGAGTTCTGCATGGTGCCTGTGGTTTCTGAACTTCTCACTCAGAGTCGCTGCACTGCCTGCCACGTGGCCTGCCTGTCCCGAGCTCACCGGTACTAATAGTGTGTGTGTTCTCTTGCATCCCTAACCACGTAACCCCAGGAGGATGAGGAGGGAAGCTGGGCTCAGGTTGGAGACTCTCTATAATCTATTCTTCACTGTATTACATCAACAAAAAGAGTTGGAGTATGAAAACTTGTAATTTACTTTTCTTGACATTTTTAACATCGTAATTTATTCAGAATATTGTTAATGATTTGAATGCATCAGTCACAGCAAAGTGTAGGGTTCAGGAGTGCAAAGAGTACGTCTCATGGACAATTTTGAACATTTCTCAGCATTCCTCATAGGGAGCCGGAGTGGTTCACGCTCATGGACATAGGTCGCTTTGCATTCTGTGTATCCAGCAGCTCCTGAGGTTATGCATTTCAGTCCTTAGTGGGGTAGCTTGAGCTGTAAGATCTGATCTGCTGATGGGAAGAAAAGCGTATTCTAATAAATTTCCAACACAAGTAGGTACAGAGACTCACCTCTGAGTCTGCTGGTGTTTTACTGAGCACTGTCCTGATACTCGGTGAGCCAAAAGCTTTCCTCCTAGTGGAAACCTCGGAAATTCAGCCTTTTCTTGCTTAACATACTTCTGAATTTTCAGATCACCAGTTCTTCAGCTCCAAAAAGCTTTGTCATGACTGTTTGACAGCCTTATTAAACAGTGGCTTCCCTGCCTGAGTCCGCAGCATTGCCATGGGACATGCTATATATTTCAGCAGCACAGCAGAGGCTGCCCAGTGTGGACAGGTGGTCTTTCCTGAGGTGCTTGTTGAAGGACTTGTGTACAGGTCTCGAGATTAATTGTAGATCTGAAAACCATTTTAAATTCAAACTTTCCTGGTTACAAGTTGATGGTTGAAACACCTGTTTCCCTCTATTTGTTCTCTTAAAGAAAAGACCGTTACATCACCTTTTAAAAAAAATATTTTTATTAATTTCAGAGAGAGGAAGGGAGAGGGAGGGGGAGAGAAACATCCATGATGAGAGAGTCATTGATCAACTGCCTCCTGCATGTCCCCTACTGGGGATCGAGCCTGGAACCTGGGCATGTGCCCTGACCGGGAATTGAACTGTGATCTCCTGGATCCTAGGTCGATGCTCAACTGCTGAGCCTTGCTGGCCATGCCAGTTATATCACCTTTCTTAACAAAAGAGGAGAGGAGCTCTAACATGATTCTCTGAGCTCTCCTCCCGCGTTTCTCTGCTGCTTCTCCAGGTAAATGTCCCCATTAACATGTAACCCAGTCAGGTATCTCTTTACAGGGTCAGCGATGACCATCAGTGAATTAAAAGGGGACATCTCATAATTACTTACATGCCAGTGTCTTTTACACTGCGAAGCAGACCCTGCATCCGAGGCTCCAAGGTTAAACAGGCTGAACCTTTGCTCTTTGCCATGGGAAGATAAGTGAGGAGGAGCCATGAGATGATGCCAGAATTAGCCAGCATTCGGTCTTGGGTGTGAGTGAGGGCCTCTCGGCTTCTAGGTGAGAGGAAGGTGAGGCGGTCGCCAGGTGCTGCCAGGCATGGGAGTCATTCAGTGCCCTCCACAGCGGCCTGCACTGAAGCCAGGGAAGTCTGAGATGCCCTTGGGAACGGGGGGAAGAACACATCAGGGTGCAGTCAGAGCCATGATGCTTCATTCAGCCCGGTAGCATCAGTGTGTGTCTGTGAGACTGCTGCTTCCCAGAACGCAGCCGTGGACAGGACAGCCACAGCCCCTCCTAGCACCCTGCGTTTTACGTAGTTCACAAATCTGAACTGAATGTGTGGCCATACCAACTGGGAAAAACAGACCCTATGCTGTGGCTGTCTCTTGTCGCCCACATGTTCTGACCATGAGAGCCTGTCGCAGGCATTTCTCAGAAGCCTGTGATGGCCGTCCAGGAGACATGGGTCTCCCTGGATGAGCTGGGCCTACAGGGAGCTCATGTTGCTGGCCACGTGGAATTGTGACGAGTACAGAGTGAGTAGACAGGAATAAGGAGTGTTCTGCTTCCAGGGAGCTTTCTGTTTAGAGATTTCTTTGCATTCTATATCAATTTAAGAATGCAAGTCAGCGACAAGAAACAGTACCAGATGTTTATGCTGCCAAGTACCTGTGAGCTGAGAGCAAGGCTCGAAGGACTGAAAACGCACGGTATTGTGATGATGTCCCAAAGAAGTTTGATGTTTTTCTCAGTCATGCTTGTTTAGAGCAAATAGTGAAATTTTTTTTTTCTTTCTGTTAGAATTTGGTCTTCTTGGAGTTTGTCATTCCTCCCAACTTGGTTGGTATAAATGATCGATTAGACTAGAGCCCATACTTTCAAGACAGGACATGGTGGTAGGTAGAGCTGCTGTTTCCTGGGACCCTGTAATGTGCAGAATGTCTGCATGTGACCAGGGTGTGTCCTCGACGTGGATGCTCATACGCAGTGTGCGCCTTTCCTCTTTGGACGAGGCTCGCACGTTTCAATTAGAGCTCTCCAAAGTGTGTGTGGTGTTTGATGACATTGTAAATGACACTTTTAAAATCTCAGTGTCTGGTTTGTTTCTAGTATTTAGAAACCGAGTTCATTTTTGCATATTGAGCTTGTATCCTGCAACTCACTTTAGCTGTGATGGCTGTTTTGTAGATTCATTTTCTGTGGTGGTAATCGGGGCATCTACAAGTAAAGACTTTTTCTTCACCGGTCACATGTTTTGATTTCTTTTCCTTGCCTGTGACTGGCTGGGAGCTCAGCACAGCGCTGCATGAGACATGCTTACTCTGTCCTGACCTGGGGGGAGCTGTTAGCCTTTCCCCACTGAAGAGGATGTCAGTGCTGCGTGTTTGTTAGATGCCGTTGTCAGAGTGAGGCACGTCCCTCCATTCTGAGGATGCTGAGACTCCTTGATGAAGGGTAGGCTTTGTCAGATGCCTTTCTGTGTCTTTTGGGATGATGCTGTGGTTTTTCTTTTCAGTCCATTGATTGGGTGAATTTCACTGATTTTTTTTTTCCCCCCCCAGATGTTGACCCAGCCTTAAGCTCCTGAGAGAACCCCTACTTGTCATGTTGACTTCTCTTAATATGTTATTGATTTGACGTGCTGTGTTTCATAGGAGTTTTGCATCTGTGTCTTTGAGGGATATTGGTCTGTAGTTTTTTTGTAATACATTTAGTTTTGCTGTCAGGACAGTGCTGGCCCTGTAGAATGAGTTGGCATTTCTTCACTTTTCTGGAATAGTTTCTATAGAATTGCTATTTTTTCATAAATGGTTGCTTGATAGATTCACCCATGAAGCCATTTAGGGCAGAGATTGTGTGTGAGAGAAGGTTTGTACCTACAAATTCGAGTTCTCATAGACACAAGTCTTAAGTTTCTTACTCAGTGGCTTTTGTAGTTTGTCTTTCAAGAAACTTGCCATTCCATCTAAGTTGCGTAAAGTTACCCAGTTTCCCCTTACATTCCTTTTCGTGTCTGTAGGATCTGTACCTGGTCCCCTTTCACTCTTGATACTGGTGACATGTCTTCTCTTTCTCCTGGGTCGCTCTGGGGAAGGGCTAGACAATTTTACTGATAGTTGTGAAGAACCAGATTTGGATTCATTGTAGTTTCTGGTTTCTGTTTCATTGGCTTCTGCTCTCTTATTTTCTCCCCTTCTTCTTTCTTCTGTATTTTCATTTGTTGTTTTTCAAGGTTTTCAAGGTAGAATCTTAGATTATTGATTTCTGATCTTTGTTTGATTATATTGTAAGTATCTAATGCTATAAATTTCCCTCAAGGTGCTGCTTTAGCTGTGTCCCACAGTTTTTGAATCTGTTGTCTTCACTCATTCAGTTCAGCGTATTTTCTCATTTCTCCTACGACTTTGACACATGGAGTATTAGAAGTATGCTGATTTCCAAACAACCAGGAGTTTTCCAGATACCTTTTCATTATTGCATTCTAATTTAATTCTCTTGAGGTCAGAGAACATAATTTGTATAACTTCATTTTCTGTGTACATGTTGAGTTGTCTGCCTTGGAGAACGTTCCATGTGCACTTGTACTGTGGAGTGTTCTGTGAAATGCCCATTAGGTCAGGGGCGGTAGCATTGTGGAGGCTTCACATCCTTCCTGAGGAGGTGTGTGAGTAGGCTGGCTCCCTGTTCAGTTACGAACTACGAGAGGAGGCTGGGATCTTCTGACTGGGCCTGTGTGTGTCTGTCTCTCCCTTGAGTCCTATCAGTTCTTTTATCTCTTCTTTCAAAACTAGTTTCATTCACTTTAACTGGTTTTGAAATTAACAGATGTTTTATTAAGGAAATTTAGAAAACAAGGTGTTAAAATTAAAACCGCTGGAGGTATATTTAATGAGTGCAGTTGGATGGATCCTTCAAACTTGTTCATGAGTCGTGGCCATTCTTTGGTGTTATGTTGTTATACATAAGACGTATCCCAGAAAGATAGTACGTAGTCAGTTACAGTTCTGTGGTGGTTTGGTAAATGGATTCAATTTATAAACACAAAGCGAGCCATAGATACTTATTAGTATAATTTCTTTTGTATAAGTTTTTTTAACAAGTTCAAAGGTAGTTAAAGAAGGACAGGTAATTTGATGTTAAGAAGAACGCTGTCCTCAGTTTACCCTTCCGGGTCTGTCATAGACCAGACACCCGGTTGGGAGATTGTTTAAACTGCTCTCGTGACCTCTTCCCTGGATTTTCCTGAACTGATTACACTCCATTATCGAAAGCAGACTCTCGCATACGGGGACATGAACCACGAGTGGATTGGCAACGAGTGGCTGCCGAGCCTGGGCCTCCCGCAGTACCGCAGCTACTTCATGGAGTGCCTGGTGGACGCGCGCATGCTGGACCACCTCACCAAGAAGGACCTGCGGGGGCAGCTGAAGATGGTGGACAGCTTCCACAGGTGCGCCTGCCCAGGCTGTGCTGCTTGCTGAGACTTTTGACTGCTGCCATTTCTTTCTCTCTCTCTCTTTTTTTTTAATTTTTATCATTTTTTTTAACAAATAGAAACAGTTTCCAGTGTGGAATTATGTGCCTGCGAAGGTTAAATTATGACCGAAAAGAACTGGAAAGGAAAAGAGAAGAAAGCCAGAATGACGTAAAAGGCTAGTACATTACGTCTGATTGATTCATCACCTTCCTGCTTCCCAGTGCGCTTGCAGCCTCGGCGATTTCCTACTTAAAGCCATCAGGAGAGGCTCTGAGAGAAGGGGAGAGCCTGGCGTCTTACAGAGGAGGGTGGGAGGCAGGGGGAGGGCTTTCAAGGTCCCCACTGTAGCTAGAGAACCCGCTGGTCTCTTGTGCACCATCAGTCTGTAGTTGGTGCCTGAGGGGAGCGCTCTCCCTCCGACTCAGCACTTTCCTGTTGTGAGGACACGGGTCACTTCTCAGTACTGTCAGCACAGCCGGGAAGGGTGACAGAGCCCGCTCTCTGCTTGCCTGATTGAAGTGGGAATGCTGCTCTGGCCACAGACCCAGGACTTGAGAGCCACAGACAGAGCAGGGTGGTCCTGCTCCCAGGGCGGAGGGAGCAGTGCGGCTCTAACGTTGCAGCTGGGCCTGGGGGTGGAATGGAAGCTTCCTGAGGGAGGAGGCGTTTCCCATAGAAGACAGGTAGGGAGGGGAGAGAGGGCGCCAGCGTTCAACCCGGAGACCAGGATGCTTTTTAATGGGTTAATTTATTTCATCCTGGCCATGGCCCTGTCAGTTCTCACTAAGAAACTTGAAAGGTCACAGTGTGTATGGGGAGATGGGCCATTGGAAGGGCAGTCTAGTTAGCCACATGGTTGGTTTCATGGGACCGACAATAACAGCTGTAAGCTGGCGTTTACACTGAGAGCACTTGTGTGAGTGTGTGTGTGTCACTGTGTGTGTGTTACACTGTGGGTAACACTGTGTGTTACTCTGTGTGTTACACTGTTACTCTGTGTGTGTGTTATGCTGTGTGTATGTTATGCTGTGTTACACTGTGTGTGTTACTCTGTGTGTTACACTGTGTTACTCTGTGTGTGTGTTACACTGTGTGTGTGTTATGCTGTGTGTCTGTTACTCTGTGTTACACTGTGTGTGTTACGCTGTCTGTGTGCGTGTCCTTTACCCAGAAAAGGGCTTTAGGAATTAAATGTGTGAATCTGTCTCATTTGTTTTCTCTATTTCTATTCATTTTAAATCTTTTTACAGTTGACAAAAGCTGTCTTTGAAAGTAATTGATGATCCTCTGTATGTATTTGAGAGAGGTATTTTTAGAGAAAATTTAATAATTTATTGCTTTGCATAATATAAGACTCCTCCCCCCCCCCAAAAAAAAGAAATTTCTAGTGTTCTGGAGGATATTTTTAAGTTTCTCCCTTTTAAAAGGAGACAAAGGCGGCTTCAGGGCATGGAGGGGAGGTCTGTGTTGAGTGACAGGTGCCTGTGCCGGCGCCCGCTGCTTCGGTGGGAGGAAAGGGTTTGGATTACTCTGGGGTCTGTGTGAGCCATGTGGGCACCTGGTGCACTCAGGTTCCTGTCTGTCCTTTTGGTTCCCGATCCCTGGGTCCTCACTGTTTTCTACTCTCCAGACGTTAAATGTACATAGCAATCTCACTCCCTTGGGCTCACTTGAAGGTGGAGTTCTGATGGGAGGTTTTTGGAGCCTGGGGAAGGGTCAGGACATCACCGTCTAAATGCAGCTGGTGGCTGTCTGTGCCCTCGGCAGTGTTTCCTGGGTCCGGGAGCTGAGGTCTGAGGCCAGGCACCAAAGGACCAGAACCTGCATAGGACCCCTTGTCCCAGGCTCTGGGGGACGTGTGATGGAGACAGCTTCCTGAGGTCACGTGTGTTACTGCTTTTGTTCCCTGCAGATGTGCTTGTTTGGAGTAATGACCGTGTGATTCGCTGGATCCTGTCCATTGGCCTTAAAGAATATGCCAACAACCTCCTGGAGAGTGGGGTGCACGGGGCACTCATGGCCTTGGACGAGACCTTCGATTTCAACGTGCTGGCCCTCCTGTTACAGATTCCCACGCAGAATACCCAGGTAACGTCCGCCCTCTGGCTCACTGCATCGGTGTCCCCGGCTCCTGACCGAGACATCAGCGAGTCACTCGAATGGAGACAGAACTTAGCTAGTCCCCTGGCCGCTCGTGATATCTTCTGTACCTAAGTAATGGAGCAGTTCGAGCAGCAAGGCTCCTTCCTTGTTGTCCTCTTTACGTTTTCTGTCACAAGCTTGAGAGTCTTGCAACTAACAAAGTAATGGGAAACTCTCACTCCAGTCCCTGCGTTCGTCAGAGTCACATACGCCCAGTTCTCACATGGAGAGAAGTAATCCTCGTGCCTGAGGGAGGCAGATTCATTTTGTTTCTGTGCATAGCTGCCCGACCTAGTCCTTTCTGACTCGTGGGCTCATTTGAGGACCAGGATGTTCTTTGCTCCTCTGTATGTCCTTTGCCGATACTCTGCCCTTCACCGGTGGGCCTGCTCCCCCGCCTACGCCAGCCCACACAGAAGCTGCCCATGGACCCCTCGTTGAAACCCTGACTGGGAACATGATCGTGGCTCAAGGCACTCACAGTTTTCTCAAAGGTTTTAAAAGTCTTGGTTGAAAAAACAGTTGTGCTCTGCTGACACCTTCAGATGAGATTGAAGTCAGGTGTTGTTTTGTGATTTCAGGCTCGTTCTGTCTTGGAAAGAGAGTTCAACAACCTTTTGGTCATGGGGACTGACCGACGATTCAATGAAGTAAGTTTTCAGCCTGATGACCTTTAAGTTGGCATTGAATGTAAGTTATTTTATTAGACTTGTATGGGCCACTTAGGCTTCTAAATGTGGCAGTACTTTTACTTTACAAGTTAAAGTTTGTTCTTAAAACTTTATGAACAGCCCTGGACAGTTTGGCCCTGTGGTTAGGGTGTCGGCCTGCAGATTGAAGGGTCCTGGGTTCAATTCTGGCCAAGGGCACGTACCTCATGCAGGAGGAAACCAGTTGATGTCTCTCTCACATCAGTGTCTCGTCCCCCCCCCCCC